GTCAGTCAAAGACTTTGTACAATCATGTGATATTTTTTCAAGATCAAAAATTCCTCGTCATCGACCTTACGAACTTCTTCACCCATTACCTATACCAGAACAACCATGGTCTTCTATTTCTATGGATTTCATCACAGATCTTCCAAGCTCAAGATCTTATGATTCTATATTTGTGATAGTAGATCGTTTCACCAAGATGGCACATTTTGTGCCATGTACAAAATCTATCACAGGTGAAGAAACAGCTAAGCTTTTCATTGATAATATCTATCGCTATCATGGATTTTCTAAAGATATCATATCGGATAGGGGAACTCAATTTGTGTCAAGATTTTGGAGGATCCTTTTCAAGATTTTAAAAGTGGACATAGAACTATCTTCGGCTTTCCATCCTCAAACTAATAGACAAACAGAGCGCGTAAACTAAGTCTTGGAGCAATATTTAAGTTGTACTATCAACTACCAACAAGATGATTGGACAACCCTTCTGCCATTGGCAGAGTTTGCTTATAATAATACGGTACATTCTTCCACACAACAAACACCTTTCTTTGCCAATTATTGCTATCATCCACGACTTGATACTTTTGATTTTTTAAAAGTTGATAATCCTGCAGCAGAAGATATGGCAAATCGGTTGTCAGAGTTACATGCAATAATGAAGACGCAATTGAAGGAAGCTCAAGAACAACAAAAAATAAACGCAGATCTATATCGTAAGGAGCAACCACAAATCAACGTGGGTGATAAGGTATGACTACTTTGTCGCAATATCAAGACTACTCGACCTTGTGATAAATTGGACTATCGTAGGCTTGGCCCCTTTTCTGTTTCTGAACAGATCAACCCAGTTGCATATCGGTTACATCTACCGGAGTCAATGAAGATCCATCTTGTATTCCACGTGTCTCTTCTTGAACCATATAAGACAATGGATATACAAAGAAGAAGACAAATGCCACCGCCTCCTATAGAAGTAGATAATAATGAAGAATTTGAGGTGGAAGAGATATTAGACTCAAGGCGACGCCGAAATAAGCTGAAATATCTTGTTCATTGGCACGGATATGATATTAGTGAACACACATGGGAGCCATCTAGGAATCTAGCAAATGCATGAGCTAAAGTCAAAGTTTTTCATCAACAACATCCATCAAAACCAAGATGAAAATCTCTCTTATAAAAGAGACAAGATTGAGGCAAGATAACATTCAATTTCCTATCCTTGTTTGTAACTTCTTTGCATTTGTGACGCTAATTAGATAGAGAGCCAACAACCAGCGGATTCAACTCAAGAACCTTTGTTTGCTAACCTGCTAGACGAGACATTACGATTGTCACAACCTTCAAGACGACGCAATCGAGATGAAGATCTTCAAGAACGACATGTTCTTCCTCGAACAGATGGTGAGATACAATGCGTTTGGTATCACGATTTGGGAAGGGACTCCCGATGTTTGGTGATTTTGCTAGAGGTAGGAATAACTCCTGATGGTGTTCCAAATATTCTATTCGAAAGAAGTTACGAAGGCCTCAACAATGATCAAATAACTGGGTGGTCTTCTCGCCCTGGTATGGAACACTACCATTGGTTGAGAGGCCCTATCAATCATCTTCGAAGAGAACAGAGATGAGAGTATGTGGCGAATACAATTCGTCGCATCATAGATTTTGTCAACATATGATGACCGCTCCTCGTGGAACTCGTCTCTAGAAGGGGGGGTAATGTTACAGCCATAATCATGTAAGCTAATAATTACATATAGAAATAGGTAGAAGTAAGTAAAAGTAGATAAAAGTAAGTTAATTCTATAATATTTAATATAGAAGTTTCCTAGAAACTTCTTAGATGCTACTTTGACTTCATAGGTGTCTTTAATTGACTTTTTGGATTAGAAACGTGGTCAACAAGTTGGCCATGTGCCACACATGTTGTTAGCTTGAAGATCAAGCTAACTATGTGGCCCACACGTAGAAAAACTTGCCTTGTAAGTCAAGGCATGTGTCTTACAAAGTCAACACATATTGGAGGTCCTATAGAACGTCGCCACTTAGCTCCTAGTTAGATAGTATATATAGAGACAAGAGTGAAGGCTTCTTCACTCTTGTCAACTTCTTTCTTGCTTCTAGTCCGGGTTCAAGAGTCTTTAGTTTCTTGTCTTGTGGCAATAGCCATTCTAGTTTCCTTTTTAATATACCTACTTGTTTATATTTTGACTTATTATATCGAGATAGCCTTTTTGTGTATATTTTCCCTCATCGAGTATTTGTCCTTGACAGAATCATATATTAGAACCCTCGGAATTCAAAACAAGGGTTCACCATCTACCCGGGGGGGGGGGGATGGAAAGAAAAAAAGGAAAAAAGAAACTCTAGAATGAGACCCAGCAACGAAGGAATTCAGTGAGTGATCTGGAAAGTCAATAGCAAAATGCCCCCTCAGCTGTCCACCACAAACACACACTCACTGGCACTTGCATTCCAGTTGTGGTTGAACCTTCCGGAGCCTATCCTTCTTATTGAATTCAATGAAGAAACACTGCATCATGGTTGTCAATTCTCTTCCCGGTACAGTGCGTGTGGGATCTGATTGTCTAGATGAAGAAGAATGGTGATGTCCAGCTGACGCATGGTAGACTGCAAAAGCAAGCAAGCTGTGGGGACACAAGCAGCAACTTGTCTGGTATTTCAGGAATCTAGCAGTAGGCTCCTGTCTGTGAGTAGACCAGATACAATAGAAAAATGGGGGCGCTGGAATGGATCTGTTGTTCTCTCTTGTGTGGGTACAACCACTGTGCGGGTTCCAGAACACTTGACAGCTACGTACTAGATAGATGTAAAGATTGATCGTACTGGTCAAACCTGCACGTTTTCGCTGCTGCTGGGTCCTCCTGTGAACCGGTGCACTGTTTTCTTAATTAGTTTCAGGTTTCTAGACAGATCATCATGGAACTTTTCTGGCCAGCTTCGACGCGGCTCCCCTTACTTTGTCATTATTTCACTCGGTTGTTGCAGGGTGTTAACACATGAGGGCCTCCATTCGTGGCTGGAACTCATTCCAGGTTTTTGTCTGTCGTTGATTCTGTGAAGGTGGGTTGTCAGTCACTAATTCTAGGCTTCCTGTGATGAAGCTTGTTTTGCACGCCTATCGCTTGCTCAGTACAGGTTAAGCTAGGAGTCAGACTCTGCTGGTGTTGCGATTCAGCTGTTTGGATTAAGCTCGGAGTTGAGTATAGGGTGTGATTTGAAGTATTGGGGTGAGCTGGAGAATCAGTCGTGCTTGTCGCTGTGACGTCGCGGCAATTTTGAACTGGACTTGCAGAATTGAGTAAGAGACGTGCATTTGGAAGACCTGCCGATCGCATTTCCGAAACTGCCGTTGCATTTGCAATGAAAACAGTTCTAATTTCTCCATTGGAAAAGTTTCCTTGAGCTGTGGTCATTTGAAGGCTGTTCACGTGTGGAGGATTCTGCTAGGGCAAACCTGCTACAAGTTGAAATTACACCACGAAGAACTCGCAGTGCAGGAAACCATACAGTCGGCGTTAGTTATGGAGATCATTGGAGTACGAAACTGGTTCATGGAAACAGCCCCACCTCAGATCATATCAGTTGGGAAATTATCCAGAGAAAGTAAGTATGAGACGATTCTCGAGGACAGCATTGTCCTAGCGTCGGAGTACTTGGGAAACGCTGCGAGTCTTGGAACATTAAGCGCCATGGCGCCAGCACCAGTAATCTCAGTGAAGAAGAAAGCATATGCGATCGGCTTAGACACTATCTGGGAGGAAACCATGCAATACGCCGAATACTTCGTGTTTGAGGCTGCCGATGTGATTCTAAGACCAGTGTTGGGAATACAACCCTGGGAGAGCATCTCCAAGCAATTTTTTGCATCTCCTCCAAGCAGCACCATCAGCTAGAACCTGTCCCTTAATACGAATTGTCAACAATTTGTGAACATTCCCAGTATAGCTTGAATCGATTTAACATCAGACGCAGTTAGCCCTAATTTTTGGACAGCTGAGAGAACATACTTGAATTCGAGTGTTGAACAAGAGCTTTCAGAACTGACAATGACAAGAAAATCATCAAAGTGCCGTGCATTCTGAGGTGAACGAGAATCAGATCATTTGAAGCATTTGTTGTTGGCATTTGTGAAGGGTACTTCATGTTTGGGGTTGCATTCAACATTCTGCGAGATGGGAGATTTATAGTTTGTTAGAACTGCTTCGCTAATTGAGCTGTAAATCGTCAGCTGTTGGGAGTACCTCTGGATAGAAATTTTTTGGATATTCTGGATCAAGCTTGAGAGGAGCAGCTTTCCCAAGCTCGTCCGTCGTCTCAAGAAATGTTCGATTGATCTCCTACAATATGCAGCACAGTGCCTTTTTGAATCCTGCAAGTGCTTTGGACCTTCTCATCTGCATCCAGTTCATCAAAACATTAGCATATAGTGATTGTAAAGAGGACTCTGTAACCCTGACTGTTGCATTTGAAAGCACTTGGTTGTCTCCTCTGGTTGACTCCAATGCTCATGGAGGTCAAATTTGAAAAGAGCCAGAATTTGTTGAAATCCGTTGATGCTAACAAGGTTCTAACAAGAGGATGGTTCTAAAAAACACGTATTCAGAAATCCTCAAAGAAAAAAACAATCTACATGTAAAAATATATATTGTTTCAACTCACTAAAAATTGTCATTGGCTGAAAATTTTGGGCATAGTTGTTTTTATCCACAAGTAATTCGGCTAATAAGTTTGCGAAACAAATTGGAACTGAAAGGTGGCTCCTGAAAGTAGACATCATTTTCAGTTGTGGATAAACAGTTAATGAATAGTGGGTGTTAATACTTTTTCGTTACTTTCTGGTAAAGTGTAATTTTTTTAATATTATTTCTGCCTCCATTGTGTTGACAAAGTTGTCTGTGTAACATCCACACAAAAAATTCAATCCAAGATGATTCACACACACACAATGGGTGTGTGTAGTTCTTAATTCATTCATATATTCCCTCTATTGCTTCTGTATGAATCATTCTGAAAAGACAAGATGTGTTAAATACTTTGTCACACTCCTTGTCAAAACAAGTTTCATTTTTTGTGAAACGTTCACAACTCTTATCAACTCTAGAATTCTTCTCCTCCCTCAATTTCAGTCCCGATTGAAGTGCTACGTTCACATCGGTTCTAGTCTTGTATAGTAATGTAGATTTGACATTTTCTCAATTCCAAATCTACAATTTTCCCATTAAGGACCATCCATAATACACGATTCTATTTTGTTATATACCCAATTAAAGTATGAAAGTTTTAAATGGACTCTCCTCATCTAAATGTGCGACAAAAATCAAATGGCTAAACACACTTTCTACCAATAGGGTAATTACCCTTCAAGCCAGCTCTTTTGGTACATTGTGTCTGAAGCATGAAGCTCTACAAGGAAGAATCAAGGTTTTAAAAAATCCTAAATCAATGGGAGGACCTCCAAAGCCCTAAGGGCTTCTGTCAGCCACGAGCTGAAACCTTAACGGACCTTGGTTGCCTGGAAATCGATCTCCTCTCCCAAGTGACACGTTTGGAGGACTGAAACAAGTGGCGGGGATTACTGTTAGCACCTAAATCCCATTAGTTTGTAGTGTTTTGAGCACCAGGTATGAAACGCTGGTGTAAGATTGCTACCCTTCACATTTATACATCACCATGTATTCGTACAAGCGATTCTAGTTTGCTACTCCCAGGACGAACACAACACACAAATCTGGGAAGCAAATAGTTTCGAAAAGCAGATTACACAGTCGTGTTCTCTTTACCTGGTCCCGGTACCGTTTCCGCAATTTGACAGCTGTATTCACACAGCTGTGCACTTTGAACTCCATGTCCATGTTATTAAAGATCTGCATCAAGAGTCGCATGACACAAAAATATCGCGAAAAGACAAGGAACCTCGATTTGTTACGACAAGAACAAGTATTGTATTAACTAAATGACTAAGACTGCTCCACTGGAGAGCCCGCCTCGACGCAGTTCAGCTTCCAATAAGAATAGTGTTACTAAAACATGACAGCTTACTATTACCTTACAGTGAATTGATGGAATGTATGTAAACGTAGACTGGCTGCAAGTTTCACAAGCACTAACCTTGATGGCATCATCCATAGATTGCAGCTTCTCCATGAGCATGCCACGATTTTGCTCCATAATAGCAGCGACACAAAAAACAGAAATATCTTGGTCACCATCAGGGCCCGACAGACCTATATTGGTGGAATTCAGGCGGTTTCGATTTATCTGCCACAACCTTCCAGGTCTCAGCCCACAGAAGGATCGTCTTTTTGCAATAGTTCTCCACCTCACTGAATCTAAACAAGGTGATCCAGATGAGGCCCTGTGAAGCCTTTCTGGACTTGGAGGGGTTAAAATGTCCGGAAAGGAGTCTCTACAAGATTCACCTTCTTGCAAAGGATAGATTTTTGTAGGAGAATTAAAATTAGGGAGGCGCAGCGCTTCTAAAGAATGATACTCAAATGCCCATGCTGTCGCTTGATGGAAATCAGCTGCCCACATCATCTATTATACACACACCAAATCAATGTAGATCTGTCAGTCCAAAGCCTTAATAAATCTGGACAAAACAAAGTACTGAATCCGTCGCTACGTGTCGCCAGAGATTTTGTAAAATTAATCATAGCTTAGGATTGTAATAGTACGACACACTAGCTTCTTCCAAAAAACAGACTTTATCGTCACGATAGAACAGAGCCAGTTAGGTGCTAAGAAACGACCCAGGACCCTTGGGTTGGTCGCCAAGGTACTGGGATAGCTAACATACATCCCCCACTGTTTCACGCCCAAATGTGGTTTCAGATATCGTAAAAGAATACCAACGTAACGAAGGTCCTGGATTAACAATCGTGAAATAAAGTGGCGAAGAAGGTGAGTAGTCCGAACCTCCCACATGTAGAGAGCTTCAGCAATTGAGAGCTCTCGGCGAAAGAGAACAAGTAACATGCGAAAGGCGAAGAGGAAATTGTCAGCTCCCACTAAAACAAGATGTTTTAGCATGTCTGCGTCCGTCACCTCTAAAATACTGGACATAGCTTCCAACTGCTTCATCACCCTTACTGGCCCCTCCATTTGAAAATTATCTCTCTGCAAGTTTACCCCAAGCACTAAGAACAAAGGTTTCTTTTACAATGAAACCAAGAGAAGCTATGATGAATCAACACAAAGTGTACCCACATTGAACACCTACTTAAGTAGCTAACGAATCACTTCTGTCTATTTTAAAGATCCAATCAATCACTATATTATCACTGCTTCACATCTATGACTACTTTCTCATGCACATCTTGTGTTCATCACCAAAATATACAGAAGATTCCCACCAAAGCTTAGAGAAGGCAGGTTAGTCTCGTACCATTCTTTTAAGGAGGCTTTCAAAGCACCAGAACGCATCGGCGTCAATGTCAAACAACACAATGAACGGTGACAGTAAATCACTCATGCCTACAATCAATCCCCAACCAGGTCCTGTCAGGTGAGGCCCTCAACAGTCCCATGGCTTCACTAAAAACCTATTACTAATAGTACTGCCCGCACTGCATATTAATTCCCAGGCAACTTGGTGAATCACAACAGCACATGTAAAAGCTACAAGAGCTGGAAGCTATATACGTCTCCTCGTTAGCAGTAGACTCGATGAAACGATGTTTCTAACGGACTTGAGGAGCAAGAAATGTAATCAGGATAAGCGTCTTACATTTTTTTGTCATGAAATAAGCAAGCTTAGCTTCACACTATCTAGCTCAGAAAATTTGTAGCTGGAGATTATATTAAAGTGCATCCTCAATAAGACTATTTGAATAGAGTTCTTCTAGAAAGGGTAAGACAGATGCCAAGAGTTCGAACAATACCTTGACAGTATCCAGTGTCAGGATCGACCCAGGCATAGACAGCCAAAATGTCTGACATGCGAGCTGAATTTTTGCCCTCATTGTAAAACTCTAAATGCCTATCTGTTCGTACCACGTCCACAACTGAAACAACAATGATGATAAACACATCAGCTAGGAAGCAGAAACGATGAAAATCCATCATTCACTACATTCCAGAAAAGATTTTTATTTCTTCTGGTTTCGGTCAGGTAACAAGTATAATGATTTTCTCCATTTCCAAGTGAACATACTTGTGGCTTGATGGAACAACAGAATAGATTACAAGAACAATCGTCGTTACTTTGAGAACTGGAGACATCTACTCACGCCGTAGGTGCCGAAAGTTTAAATAGGAAAGCACTTACCAATTCTGTGGAGAGTCCATAGCCAGTTGGTAACCTTCTCCGATCCTCCAGACAATCGAGGGCCTGGCACAGTGTCAAGATCTACGGACTTCAAGAAAGTTGAATTCCTTTCGTCCTGTTCCGATGACAAATCAGTCATCCCTCCTCTCTGCCCTTCTACTTCCATTCTCCTCAAGGTGGACTCCACATCACTAGCAATAGGAGTAGAAAATATGCTAGGGACAGGGACAGTGTTTTGAGATCTCTCTAGTTCGTCTTTGGCAATGTCACCGTTTTCTTGTCTAAAGCCTACGCTCTCAATTGATTTCTGATCGACTTCTGTTGGAGTTAGCATTTTGACAAGTCCTGCTCCAGGCCTCTGCTCAGAAGCAACCACTTCACCTGGTAAAGGCTCTTGGAGCCTGAGATCATCGGAAGTAAAAACTCCTTGCTGTTCCATTTGGACAGGTAAACCATCTCCAGTCCTCTCATCTCTGTAAGATTCTTGGACTATCGAGTTCAGATTTTCAGTCCCAGCCCCTGGTGCACAACTCTCATTAGAGGCTTCTAAATTAGACCTGCGATTTTTAACGGAAGTCTGATGCCGAGCTTTGGAGTGGTTTTTGAAATCGTCAACAGGGATTGACTCCACTAATGGAACATCTTCGTCGTCCCCATTGCCGTTGGATGTAACACGGACATCCATTAGCTTAGAACCAACTGTGTACGCCAGAGACCCTGTTCCAACGCTTGAGTGCATCGTTCGACATTGTTCAAGTAGTTCATTGTACCTCTCCCTGATAACGCAGAGCATTTCCAAGTGTGATGTTTAGCGACATTCATAGCCGTATTCGTCCACATGCACAATAACCAAATGCACAACCTTATCTGCTTGTTCTTTCAAGAATAAAAACATTTGAAACTCCAAAAAGTAGATCAGGAGATTCAGAATCATAAACCTGCGAGCCTGACGAACTCGCTCACGGTAAGCCAAAGTGGTTCCCAGTTCATAACAGCCAAGCAAGAACTCCCAAACTTCGGCTCTAATGGAATGATCCACACCCTAATGCACGTCACCAGCATGTCAGATTCAGCGTATTACCAGAGAGGACTCCAAAACTCCTTATTTTTAGGTCAACAACTTGAGTCGCGAGTACTTTGTTGCTATAATAAACAATGTTATCTTAAATAGAAGCCATTTCAAGTGTATCGCAATGCCAAACCCCGGCAGGAAGTTTCAGAAGCAGGAACTACTCCAGAAAGTATCCGTTTTGAAGTTAACTGGGGTGCTCTCGCAAGCAAATTTACTGAAACATGTTTCAAATCTTGTGAACATTATTTACCTAAGGGTTACCATCTCCCACGTCAGAGTTGGCAGGAATCAAAAACATAAAAAGACTTACCCCTTTCCTAATTATCTTCAGGAGCTTATGGAATCCAACTGGCCTGCCTTCGAGGTCAAATGCCGCCCTCCACTTCTCTGGCCTCAACTTTTGAGTTGGCTGTGCAATAAGCCATCATCCGATCAGACATGCTCGCGGCCGAGGCAACACATTTAGCGGTATCAAAGCGGTGCATTAGCTCAAGAGTCGACAGCAACATTTACTAAATTTAATATTGGTGATATATCAATCCTGCCACGCACAAAGGATGCAGGGGAAGGCAAGCACCTTAGGACGGCGGCTTGGCGGGATAAAAAGCATTGATTTAGGAATACTAGGAGAGGGACGTTCATTCTCCTGCTTTTCAAGGCTAAAATCACCCTTTTTAAGCTTCTTACTTGTGGTCACAGCCTCGCAACAGCTGAATCCACCTTTGTTATCCCAATCTAAAGACATCACACCGTCCTCTAGCACACCTCCTTCAAAGCTTAATCACAAGCCCACTGTTTTGTGCGCGAGCTAGCTTCCCATAAACTAACAATTATTGACTTTCCATTTCTTCACTGATGCCATCCGGACTCTGCAATGAGTACAAATATATTTCTTTGAAATGTTCAAAATTTAGCTTATTCTTTCAGAGGTGATGGGATTAAGTTATGCTTTCCGTCAATGGGCCCGAACGGTTAAGAATAAAAAAATCTGAACACTGCCAATCTAAATACCGTCAATTCCATTGCATCCTCCAACCATATCTCGCAACTTTTTACAAGCAAGTTCACCTGACCAACTCAAATACACTAAATAGAATTCACCTTTACAACAAGCTGGTGGGTTAAGCAACACAGGCCATCTCTCCCTGTATGATTGAAGAGGAACTATTTCAGTCATGAAATCAAATCGGCTGTCAAAGTATCAAATTTGACACAACAGAGAGAAGGGATAGAAGAAGAGGAATGATCCATCCTACTTGTACAGCACACTACGAATTTGGTCTCTAACATTGCAAAGCATTGAAGAAGGACGACCTCGAAGCTTCGGTTCTGCCAATTGGTAGGCCTCACACCTTAGGATCAGAAAAAACCAGGTTTTAGGGGAATCACAGACATCCTCTACATTCCTGAGCTCTACAAATACCATTTCGCAGTGCCGGAACTCTCTCCAAATTTTCGAATTCATTCACGCCCTCAGGTGTGCATGCAAGTCCTGCAACCAAGGCGCTCCCAAAGCAACCAACCCTAATTTCCTCCCTCCCTCTCTTCTTCTACACATCCTTCCCTTCGCACGTGGGCTCCGTCACCATCTCTGATTGCCAATGCCACGCATCCGGAAGAGCACGAGGTTCAACGCTGCTGCAGGCGAAACAGGACACCAAAAGTATGGTGAGCATTGGCGGGGTAGTGTGGCCAGAAAGCAACATCAGCAAAATGGTAGGGTACCCCCCCCTCCCTCCCCCCCCGCCAGGACACAGATGCAAAAAAACGCACAGGAAAGGTACAACAACACTATTCTACATCACATCGAATCAGCATCAATTTACCCTCCAGCAGACGGAAATCAGCAATGACAAAGGCCAACCCCCATGAATGCCCTGCCATCACTGTTGCAATCTCTACGCCACAAGGAACCATCAGCTTTATGATTCACTCACATCGGCGTCACCCCCCGAGCCAGCCCGGGTCTTCCCGTCTCCTTCTACTCCTCCTCCCCTCCCTTCCCTTCCCTCAAGTCATAGATTCACAATCCCCCAATATCTCATACCACCATCACATTATACTTCTTCACACAGTGCTGGCAGCAAAAACATCCAGAAATCCCTCGTTGAAACTCGTGCAGTTCTGCCATGGCTGCAGAGGTCATTGCAACAAGTACCCTGCACAAGATTCCCTCCTCTTTGTAAGTTGGTGACTGTCGAAGCTTAAGCTAACCGACCCACTTCCTCTAGTGCTTTTTTCCCATGCCCAACATCTGCTTCAGAAGCAACTCTCAAAAACCACTTTCAATCTTTTTCACTACCCATCGCAATCCTGTTCCACCATTTCCTCTCCCACCCTCCACATCTTTAGTCTTCGAGCCCTCCTCCCTTGGCTTTCCCTCAGTCAGTCAAGTGCAGTGTTGGAAAAGCAACTAAAAAGCGCAAGAAATTCAGGGTCAAGGACATGAAATCCAATTGCATTCTCTGTGTTGACATTCAGACAAGAATATTAGCTATTAATGAGCATGTCCCATAATAGCTGGCCTGGCTTGAGGTGGGTGGACCTTTCCATAGCCCTGAAATGCATGAAAACATTTGCTATTCTTAAAGCCCAAGCAGAACAACACCATCCTCTCCCTCCCTTGTATCTATCTGTCCCCCCCCCTTTCCATGTCTCATTTTTGCAATTGCATTTTGTTTCATGTGATGTGGGTTTATTCTTACTAAATATGTCGAAAACCAAAATTTAAAAAATAGACTAATATGTATATTTAAAGAATGTCCACTGCATACATATTGGATAAATAGTACAAACTCTTACGTAAAAAGTTATGATACTTGATATTACATTCTTGTGGCTGATTATTGTAGTTGCATTTTTTAACTAACAGCACTTATTGAATAAATCTGCATAACTTTATCAACTATAAATAATTCAGAACTTAATATTATAAAAATAATAAATGGTGGGTCAAATTTCAAATTGCTTATGTCAATTGTTGTACTTATGTAAATAAGTGATTTTATGCTTTGTCAAAGGAACAAAGTGCATATTTTGACAGTTATCATGCTGGATTGTAAATTCATGCATATATGATTATGACTAATATGTATAACCTGCAAAAATTATATAAAAAAACCTCACTACAAATTCGACACTAATCGTAAGATTATTCAATGATTTAATTATGTCATTGGCAAGAAGTAAAGTCTAATTATTTAATTTTATAGCCTTTTCATATTCATGAGTTATTTCTATGCCAAAGTGATACAATCCATAAAATATATGAGTTCAAGTTTTTTTTTTCTTTTTTTTCTTATACAACATCACATGTGATAGAAATTACTTAAATATGTGTATTTTTTGTTGTACTTATTTGTGAAAAGTAATAACCTTTTTTAATTTTTAGTATGGCTAAATATACTTTAAAGTCTAAAATGTTTTAATTTTTTTTTTATGCAACAAGCACATCTTTTCAAGCTAAACACCTTAAAATACCAAAAAATAAGTTAGTAATTTCGAAAAGATCAACTTTAACCATAAGATTTGGTTGGTGATTTTTTAATCTTTTTATAATTACATTTTGGGTTACTCAAGTATTTTGGAAAAAAAAAGAAAAAAAAGAAAAAAAAAAAAGAAAAAAAAGAAAAAAAAGAAGGTAGTTTGAACAACACAACCTAAATAAGAGGTGAAGGTTTAAAATGTGCAAAGCCATAATCAAATTAGATAAGAAATTGAATTTGTCTCTTATACTATGAAATCATTGCAGAAAAGTTCAATGTTGATATTATATGTGCATTCCGTATATAACATGGTGCTTGGTGACTGTTAACAAGATATTAAAGATGCCAAGTTAATAGTAACAAAAATAGAGTTTTACTTAAACGAATTTATAGAATTCTATTATGTTAATATTATTCATACTAATTAAAATATTTTAAATGCTGTGTCCAATAATTTTCTGGATAAAAATATTAGTATGCACTTTGAAATTTTATTTCTTGTAAAAATAATAATAAGTTGAGTAGTTGCCTAATTGACGCCCTAAGGTGGTAATTGGCACTCAAATTGTAATTATTGACAGGCTAGGACTATTTTTCTAAGGTCCCAATATACTTAAAAGTCTTTGACAAAAATAACATTGTACAAGTTATTGTTAGCATACTTTTCATAAGCATATTTTTATTAATTGATAAAAATAACTATATATACTAAAATTTTATAATAGTTTTATAAAAAAATAATAATGATGTTTTATTTAATCAAATTAGATATGTCATCTTCCAAATTAGTCACATACAAGAGTTTGGAATGTTTTGATCTTTCAACATTATTTGAAACTTATCAACATTGATTGTGCATAATTTTCTTTAGTTTGTATATATATATATATATATATATATACATACATACATATATAGGCACATATATGGTGGATCTCTATTTGTGACCTATATTTTTTAAAGATATATACACAATTATATTATTTTTCCATCTAAAAATACTTTGAATGTATTGAGAGAGAATGCCAAAAAACAATTCTTTGATCTTCTTCTATAAATGAACTGTTTGCATTTATACAAAATTATTTCTTATAATTTATCAGTAAATCATACTTCTACATAATTTTCACTAGATGTTATTATTACTATTTTCCTACCTTCAAAACCATTTTTTTGTTTTTTATAATCTTTAGTTCAAAATAACATACTTTCAAAAATAATCTTGATTTTGTTTGTTTCAATCAAAATGATTTAAAATTCATATTGTTAGATGACAACAAAATTCATCTAACAATATGAAATTTTAATACAAAATCAAGAAGGATTTCTTCTAAACCTACTAATTAGTAATAATAATTTAGTGCATATATATATATATATATATATATAAAGAGTTGTTAAAGCTATACTTCTATGTTGTTAATACAACACCCTTCTTAGATTCTCATGGTTAATGTGGTCTATTCTTAGACAACATCACTCTACCTCATATATTATACTCATGAATATAGCTCAATGCGCCATAGTTTGATCATCATATTCCAAAATGCTATGAATTTGACCTTCTAGGAGTGGCCACAACCTACATCATCATTGCAATATAGAATTGTCATTGTCATTACCTTGTTGCAAAATCCTTCTTGATTTTGTTGCCTTCTCTTTCTTTAACAATACTGATGTTATTTTTTTTATATCCATAATTCTCTATTTGGTTTATGTATTCAATTCTCTATTAAGATTCTTCTTCTAATTTAGGTATTCAACTTCATATGTAGTTGATGGTGATGGCATCTTGGTCCAAGCAAAATATCCTTGTATAATACAAAGTAACGTCATAGTATTTATTGTAGATGATTTTAAGCATCATTGGATACATGTGTAATTGAGTAATTACAATTGGGCATGTGGTCTTTTTGATATAAGGTTTACAAGAATAGTTTAATTTTTTTATCCATGTAATAGGATTTATAGTACAAGTATTTATTTCAAGTATAAATTAGAGACATTATAAGACCACTCATACCATATTTTGCAAAGATTTGGATAATATTTGAGGCATGTAAGTCACAAATTTAAAAAATAAAACAAAATAGCAAGTTATTATTTATTGATTTAGTTTATACTAAAAAAGTTTAGTAAATTAAGTCCTTGTAATGCATTGTTGCATCAATACCTAAATTACAAAACTATGTCGAAATTCTATTTACTATTGTTCAATGGTCTCTTATTAATTATCTTGTAAAGCATTATAAACTTATCTAATATCAAAATAATCTAATCTCTCTTTAAAAAGATGTTTGATATTCTTCAGAGCTTAGACTAAAACTTCTTTGTATTATATATCTCAATCTTGTATGAAACTTGAGCACCTCAATTTTTATTCTAAAAGATGACAAATTTCTTTAAGAAAAATTGCCAAATATTGCCTATAATTTTTGGCAATCATAGCTTGTATACCAATAGTGAAAGTAAATCTAATTAAAAGAAATTCTTAGAATTAATTCATATTGATTAATAATGTTAAAAAAATGATTCATTATCTTTTAATCATTAAATTAAATAAAATCAAAAGAATTTATTTTATATCATGTGGATAAAAAAAAAAACTCAAATATCTTTTTATTATTTTTAAAAATTATATGACCATCTTAAAATACACATATTAGCAACTCTACCTTCTCTTGTAAAGTCTTGCTAAGATTCATATATATTGCTCTATATCATATAAGTTGGTTTTCTTTTCTAAGTACTTAAATCAAATATGGTAATGTAAAATATGTCTTAATGTTATGTCCAACTTAGTCACATGCCTTATATCACCTTTGTTGCCTCCTCCAAAACCTCAAATAAAGAAGAATTTTTTTATATAAAAGATTGCAATTAATTATAATTCAATGAATCATGAGATCATTTCCTAGAACATTAGTTATTATGCTTATTTAGAATATAATATTACTAGGTATCACAGACATATATATATTTATCACAATAATTACTTATATGATTAGGTAGAACTAAGTAAATATAGATTAATTTTATAAAGTCTTCTAGAAAAGCTTTCTAGAAGCTTCATAGATGCATTTTTGATTTTAGATGTGTTTGTAGGTTAGAAACTTGGCCAACAAATTAACCACGTATTGGTAGCTTATAGAATAAGTTACCTCCTTGTAATAGCTTTTGGAACAAGCTAATTATGTTGCGCATACATAGGTAACTTGCCTTACAAGTTAAGACATATTGCTAGTAAAGTCAATACATATTGGGGATCCTATAGAATATCGCCATATAGCTCCTAGTTAGAAAGTATATATAGAGGCAAGAGTGAAGCCTTCTTCACTCTTATCAATGCCTTTCTAGTCTTTAGTCTTGTTTTAAGACTTTTTAGTCTTCTTATTTTTGGTAATAGCCATTCTAATTCAATATTATATCATTGTTGAATGACTTTCTAGTTCTTTTTAATGGTACAAGAGTGTATTAAGGATTTTCTTCCCTCAAGATTCATATCCTTGATGGTTTGAGAAGAGTGCTAACTTATTGTTTTTGTCTTATTTTAGAAGTGAGTAGATTATTCCACTTCTATTGTTGTATTTTGAATGTGGTAGACTATCCATCTTTAAAGAAAAAATCTTATTTTTAAACATTGATTTTTTCCTTAAAAGAGGATAAATTATCTCTCTTCATAGAAATTTTGATTTAAGATTAGAATTTGTAGATTATCCTCCTCTAGTTTAACTTTTTGAATTTTTTTTTAATTATCTATAGAAGAAAAGATTATGGATGCTACTCTCAATGGAAGTGAGAATAGACTTACAACTATTGTATATCTTTATGAACTTATCAATATTCTAAGAGTAGAGATTTCATATATTTCTAACGTAAATCATGGAGGTATTATTCCTATACCTATGGAAGGAGTTCAAAGTTTATATCAAAAAGTTGTTTAGTTGAAGGAAGCAAGTAGATCAACTTCACAACCAAAT